TTTGGGAAAGAAGCATCCACACATACAAACAATATTTCAAAAAAAACCTATCAGCTGAAGAAAAAGCTCTGGAGTCTAGAGCTTGAGAACCAGTCTAATTATAAGACCATTAATGTTAGTAAGGTATTAGGCTCTGGAAATGTGAGGACTCTCTCCAACTAACTTAAGCTATCAGGTAAGAAATATCAGCTGTGATTTTGTTATTCTTACTGAATGAGATGAGCGCAATTGCAACTGTAAGCCAGCCAATGCCCAAGTTCTACTTATTGCAGTGGCCAATTAATAATTATACTAAGAATCGAAGGGGATTGAGCTGGATACACGCAACATACAAAGAAAGTGGATCAGGGACCTACAAAGATTAAATACAGACCCCATTCATGGTGCCTTTGCTCTACCTACATGGTATCAGCTTTGTTTGCCAATTACTAAGTATATTATATCCTCAAACCATATTGAAATTTTTTTCCATAAAAAGCACCTCTACAGAAACACACATGAAAATGCAGCCATGTCTACATAATTATATTTAAACAAGACACCAGATCTTGCACGTAATTTTGGATTCTTGCAAAATATATATATATATATATATATATATATATATATATATATATATATATATATATATATATATATATATGTATATAGGGAAAGCAAAACAGAGAACACAAAATAAAAGAAGCATCTGTGATGCCCAATGAAAGGCTTACCTGTAGTTTCTGGTGCAGTTGATCATACAAGTGCTGCAATTTCATTTCCCAAACAAAAGACACAGAAAAAGAACAGTGTCAAGGACGGTCAAAAACACAATCAGAGCCTCGGACTTATACAAATTTAAAACAAACCAAAGTGAATACAAATTCAGATATTAGCAACTAATCTCTCATCAGGTAATCAATCAGACAGAATCTGAGCTCATTTCAGATGATCAGAAACAAGAATCTCATTACGTAGAGGATCTTGGCTGTAGGATAGTCACAGTTAGAGAAATATGTCTTTTACCAAAACCGGAGGAATTTATTTTTTCTAGGAGGAAGGCCCTTTGATACATGACAAGAAACTACCAATTCTTTTCACAACCTTGCAACTTTTCAGAGGTAGGGGGAATCTGGTGAAAAGGCATTAGTTTTGAGTAAGTGAAGCATTGAACTGAAATGAAAACTACAAATAATATTTCAATTCAAGACATAAACATCATCATTTAAATTTCCTTCCATAGTTTCCTATCTCTTCGAGTTTAAAATCTGGCAGTAACTTTAAGCTCCAATCACCGCTAATATTGCCGGCTTAGTTGGACTGAAGATTTCAAGACCGAGTTATCACCACAGTATATAAAACAAATAATAAAGCAAAACTCTTACACCAGCATCAATAGATAATAGACAATATTGCCCTTTTTACAACTATCCAATATCCATACCTTGAGATTCATGCAAATAGAAGAAGCATTTGTGACGCTCGGCCGTGTGCCAAATTCAGCCAATAATCCAAGCAAAGATGTCATGAAATAATATCTCTGCTCTTCTGCATCCTAAAAGAGGAAATTTTTTTACATTTGGCAAAGAGGACAAAGCACTTGTTTCTAGAGTTGATTTAGCCTATCTTATCCCTCACAATTGTCTAGTACAAGTATTATCACTTAATTATACTATGGGGCTACTTCATGAATATCTTTCTTTTAGAGGGTGGTGGATGAATCAGTAGGGTAAGTAGAGTTGATAAACTAGGAGGGAAAAGACTCTTTACCTTCAAATCATTGGTTAGTCTTACATTCTCATCAAGGTCAGCTTTTCTGAGAGCCAATTCATTTAAGGCTGCAGTTATCGATTCTTTTTGCTTCTCATCCATGGCCTATCATATCAGGTATTGGATGAGCAATCACCATCATCCAAAGCAAAGCAATATCAAAAATACAAGAAAATGACAGGGAATAAGAGTTTTCTAGATCACAGACCATACGCAGATCTGAAAACTTTCTCTCCAAAGCATATTTCTCATTGAGCATCTGCATCTCCTGTCATTTAAAGGAGACACAAGCTCACTCCCATATAAAAGAGAAGCACCAGAAAACAACAAATTATCGAGTACCCATATTCTTAGCACTACCTTAATATAGGCTTGAGTAATTTTTTCCCTAAGAAAAAAGATCTCATGTTCTTGTGTCCTGGCTTGCCCAAAAAGTTCCTGCTCATTGATTTTAAGAAGTGGATTCTATAATATTAGACAAACATAGATGGAAAGAATTGCATGCATAAGTAAAGTTACATGCAACCAAACCTTTTGTTCCTCGGAAGTTTTAAGACTTCCATCTCCTTTCAAATCCCTTGAAGTAGAATTTCCAATGTCATGCCTAGGAAACAAAAGAGTATTTATACAAGAGGAGCAAAGACCAAAACAACAACAAGAAGCCTTAGTCCTAAAATGATATGGTATTAGCTAAAATGAATTGTCATAAGAAATCATCCGCAAAAAAAATGGAGCAAAGAAAGGAAAGTGATAAAATGAAAGTGGAAAAAAAACCGAGAAAAAATACTGAGCAAAAGCTACTGTATAACATGGATGTAAAAATACTAACAGGTTAGGCAGGTCTAAAATGAATACCTGCTTGAATTTGTTGTACTATTATCAGTAGACATCACACTGGACTTCCCCCAATTCTCAAGCAAGCAACATCCAAACGCTAGAGAGTAGATTATTTTTGGTGGCCAGGGACATGCTGCATAATTTCTGTCTGGTCACAATCTATTGCCGTACACACAACCCACAGTAAGAAAGGCCCAATCAACATTTTTTATACATAAAAGACCAGAAAACAGAAGTGAATAAGCTACAAGGAATCATATCATCAGTCCCCAAAACAGCCTACATGATGAAATTGATTTTTCTAAGCAGTTTTGAGTGTCTACTGGGATAGTTATAGCAGCCCATAGAGATTTACAATCTGTCACTTACAAAGAATCTGTTTCTTTGTGCCTCATCCTCCCACCCCAACCCAGCCACCCCTAATTCCCACTAATAGAGGAAACTAAAATCCGGAGAAGAAACAATTAAGTTCCTACTGAAAGATCAAAATAAAAATCCATTTATTGAGATATTTCCTTAAAGATACATTACTATCAGAAACATATATATATATATATATATTAAGACACCCAAATATTTGTCAGTGTATTGCATTTGAATTTTGAAATCTGAAATAGCTAGGGTCATACACTAATCTAGTATCAGATGCAGGTATATATGTGTATTAAAAAGAAGGGATAATCCATCTGTGATTTGACACGAACTAACCGGCACCTTTCCAAGTTCTAAATGATTCATCCGGATGGAATGCATCATTACCAATTCATTCCGTTTTAATCACTCATTGAAAATTCTGTCTCTTTTTTCCAAAAACTTAGCATCTACGTATTACTAGGGCCCTTGCATACGCCAAATGTATGAATAATGTTAAATGAATTGTTTACAAGGAAGACAAAATTTATAAGAATTGTCCAAAACAGAACCAAGAAGCTTAAAGATAGGAGGCTCCATATACAACCAAACATATCCAAGTGATACATTCCAAAAACACCAATCTATAACTCTTTCACATCAAAAAAAAAAAAAAAATATCCATATAGTTTCGGATTACAAAGTGTCACTCAGATGTCACTCATTTCTATTAATCGTAAGGGATGGAGGAGGAAGATTTTTGTCGATGACTACACGAAATAATCACTTTTGGTTCAGGAAGCCGACCCCAGTTATGGGATTAATGCTTTGATTGATTGATTGATTACATACCTAACTTGTGCTGCTTGATATTAATGACACTTTTATAAAAATACATCAACTACAAGAAAACATAGCTGACAACGAGATTATAATTCCTTAATGACCAAATTTCCTAATTTTGAAAGAATGACATTCATCAATTGCTTCCAACATCCAAGAACACAATAAATGACATTCTAAAGACCTAAAAACTGAAATACATCAGAATTTAAGTATTTTTTTTCCTCATTGCAATAAAACTTCAGAAATCAACACAGAACCATCTGAATAAAATCTTCACATTCGAAACCCGAACCACTGCATCCGTTTCCTTCTTTATGGTGGAGTTCTAATCATAAATCTCTTCAAAAACCAATCACAAATCGCATTTTGACCAAATTTCCCAACAAACCCACACCCATTTACATTAAATTAAGCATAAAGGAATCAAACTTTTCACTGAAAATGAACAATAGAATTACAAACTCCAATATATCTATACAAAAGAAATACAGAAAAAAATAAAGGGTTTAATCTTTACCTCAATTCAATCTTTCAATAATATATAGAACCTCAAATTGAGCAGCTCTTACTTTTTTTTATCTGTAATTACAACCAATGTATTAAAGAAGAAAAATAAGAGTGAAAAAACATTCAAAGAATTAAGGAGATATAAACCCAGAAATCAAAAAATTGAATGAATATGATTAAAAATTGAAATCAATGAAATGGGGAGTTCCAAGTTTGTGAGTTAGGAAACCTGAATTTGTAATACGGAGTAGAGGAGCGGGTTGAATGCTGCTGATCTTTGCTGACTGCTGACTGCTGACCCTCAACTCTCAGTTTATCGTTGTTCCAATTGTCAAAGGAGGAGTAGACCAAGAAATATATACGAAGTAGAAAACAAAAGGGAGTAAAGCATAAATACAGTCCCTGAAGTTTCGTATAAAAGCCGTTTTAGTCCCTCTTTAACTTTTTTCACCAATTTAGTCCCTCAACCACCCACTTTACTGTTTTTCAGCCAAAAGTTGAGGGACTTTGCTGACTAAGCAAAAGTTGAGGGACCTTGACTCATCAAAAAAGTTGAGGGATGTTGAGTCACCAAAAAGTTTAGGGACTTTGACATGGCAAAAAGTTGAGGGACTTCAACCCTATTAATATTTCAATCAAAAAAAAGCTAATATTGTTCTTTCCAAAAAAAAAAAACGGTAATATCGAATTTTTTTTTCTGAATTAATAAACTAGCCGTTATCAGAAATGAAGGCTATAAATCTTCGAGTTCCATGAACAAACAGCAGCTCTTGAACATCCAAAAAAAAATATTGACCACGAAGAAGCTTGCACTGCATCAAAATCTCAGTCCTAGGTACCTGTGAACATGAATTGTAAATGTTTGTAATTTTTGTACAATGTGTAGAATTTACGAGAAACTAACAATCTGTTAATTAGGTGACATCAGAGATTGTAATGCTAAAAATGAAAAAACCTAGGCTGTCTGTATGTGTTAAGTGTGAAGTGTGGGTTTTTTTTGCATTTGCAACTTGTGTAATTGCCTGGTTTGTCCTTAGGAACATGGCAAACTAAATGTATTTGACTAAGTAATGGTGGAATGTAAGAGTATGCACTGATGTTATGAATAAAGTGAAAGAATGTAGTACCTCATTTGTTTTGCTCTCTAATTTGCTTTTGCTTTTCCTTTTGCCAAATCTTGCAGTGCTTGTGATGATATAGTTTGTGATGCTGCCTCTGGTTGTGATTGGGGGAAGGTATACTCTTGAGAGAATGAATATACAGTCTGCTGCCCTTCATTATCAGAGTAAAATGCAGCACCTCTGGACTGTCTAGGCATTTGTGTAGTAATTGGCTGCAACCATTGAAAGAGTAAAAAGAGTATCCCACTGAGAGTTATAAAATAACAAGTAAATTTGATAATAGATGGAAAACTTACAATTGCTTGTCTTTGGAAGCCATTAGGGTAGGTGTACACACCAACCCCTCTGTTGTGCATAGGAATTGAAGGGGCAGGGTCAGTTTGGGCTTGACTAGATGTGTTTGGAGCTGTGTGCCTTTCCCTTGGTGCATTTCTGCATGTGACCTTGTTGTGCCCCTGCAACCCACACAAGCTGCAAGTGATCCTAGCCCCAGTCTTCCTAACCTTCCCCTGTATAATCACCTCACCAGCAGAAGGTCTTCTCTTGGTTTTTGGCCTATTGTGCACCTTTTTCAACTCAGGAGGGGTGACAGTACAGGTACCAACAGGCCATTCTTGTGGACCATTTAATGGCTCAAGTTGGTGGTCATAGGCTTTTGCATGGTAGTGTGTCTTGAAGTAGTCATTGACATACTGCTCTGGTTGCTCCACTTTATTCCAAATGGCAACCACCCCATGTTTGCAGGGAATGCCACTCACCTGCCATGCATTACATGAGCATGTTCTGTCCACCAAGTTCACAACATACTTGGTTTGGGTAGCCCCATCCCTAACTCCATAGCAGAAACCACCATCCCAAAATGCATTCCAGCCCCTAGCCCAGACCTTGTGTTTCTCAAGCTGCTGCTGAATCCTAGGGCATAAACTCATATCCCTTGCTTTGATCAGGCCCCTCTTTTTGTGTAATCTTTCCATTAGGCTCTCTCTAATGTCCTCTAGCATACTGATGATAGGCTTGTGCCTCCATTTAAGTATGTATGCATTGAAAACTTCAGACATGTTGTTGTCTACACTGTCACATGAAGCCATTGGAGTGTAGAAAGCCCTACACCATTTTTTGTAATTTTTGTTCAACAAATCCTCTGCAGCATCATGTGACAGCTCTCTCATCAGTTGTAACTTCTCAAGAAATGCATTCTCAGTGGTGGATTTGGCAATAATCCAAAATTGCTTTTTTAATTCCAGGCTGCCTCCAAAAACCTCCCTAAAATTGTTGTAAACATGTCTAGCACATACCCTGCTCTCAGCTTGAGGAAAAACCTCTTGGATTGCTGCAATTAACCCCTTCTGCTGATCTGACATGAAAGTGTAGCCTGCCCCTTCACTTGTTCCTAAGTCAGAGCCTAGTAGGTGCAGGAACCAGCTCCAGGTGTCAGTGCTCTCAACACCAACAACAGCCCAAGCTAATGGGAACATCTGGTTGTTCCCATCCCTACCAACAGCTACCAATAACTGCCCCCCAAAAGGACCCTTGAGGAAACAACCATCCAAGAGATGAAAGGTCTGCAGCCCTCTAAAAAACCTTTTCTCAAAGCCTCAAAACAGATGTATATCCTATCAAATACATTCCCATTCAGCTTGAGTTTCATTGTGTTGCCCTTGTTGCTTCTTAATATCTCAGTTGCATACCTAGGGAGCAATGTATATTGCTCCTTGTACTCCCCAACAATAAGAGCCTGCCCTCTTCTCCTTGCCTTATAAGCCAAGTACTTGTTGATCCTGATTCCCCACTCTAACCACACTGTCTCCATCAGGTCATGTAGCCTCATGTATGGGTTGACTTTAAATTGATTGTGGTAATGATGTGCAATCCAAGTTGGTGTCATTTTCCTAACCTTACATGATCTTCCACAAGTATGCTCACTAACATGTGATTTGACACTGAACTTAGTTTTTTTTGGTATCCCAGGAAGCCCAAATTCTCCATGGACACCCTTTTTCCTTGTGGTCACAAACTGCTCCCACTCTAACCTTATCATTCTTAAAGAAATTGAAATTTCTGCCCTGTGTAATGGCCATGTTCCTAAGAGCTTGTTTGAAAGTTGTTTAGTTCTCAAAAGTCTGTCCAGGGTAAAAGGCATGAATTTTGTCAATGTCCAGTTCTTTCTTTTTGGATTTGTCATACCTATGAGATGGTGGTGCAGCCAAATACCCACAATCACTGTCATCTTCATCCTCATCAGGGCTGTCTAGATCATCAAACCCCTCAAAGTCACTCCCTATTTCACTCAACCCCCTGTCCTGAGCTACCCTCCTTAACATATTTAGCTCATCATCATATGCTATCACAGTGTCCTTGTCTTTAGCAATTTCAGACCTAGCCTGCATAACCTCTTCATCATCAACATCAGTACCCTCACTATCATCGTCTATGTCTCCCTTTTTCTCCTTCCTAGGAATAGTGTCATAAACTCCATCCAAATTGTTACCTGCACTTCCTCAGGTTGTTCATCATCAGCCTCATAATCTTCTCCATCCTCTCTAGTTAGGTAACTCAAAAAAAAAAACCCTTCTCCCTAAATTGCCAAACAATGGCCTCTCAGGTTCTTGGTGCTCTGTGTATATTCTTATGAGTTTGTACTGTAAAAGTAAACTAAGGAATGGATCAACAATTTTCTTTTCAAATGACAGGTACCTAATTCCAGAGTTGAAATCCTTCCTAGGATCTAAGTAATGAATCTTAAAAATGTCTGTGTACCCCAACCCATCAATTAAACCCTTTACAAATCAGCATCAACATTTTCAGGAATGTCCTCATATACATTAATTTTACCACCAATGTAAAAAGATTCTTCACCAATTTGCCATTCACCACCATGGTGCACAACCAAACATGGTTTCAAGTCCATAATCTGGCATTACCAACACATGAACACATTCTTTAACATGCATGATATATTATCAACAAAGCAAAATAAATAAGGATAAATAGCAAAAACATCAATGTAAGAGTAACAACATCATTCATTTCATTCATTACTCCAAAATATTTCTTTACATTAGATTAATCACTAGGCTTCATTCATTACATACACTAACATCATCCAATATCCCTACATGAAGCCTAGTGAAACTGATTCAGCACTGCATACATTGTCATAGCAGTGACATACCCAAAAAAAACCATAATGTATGTCACATTCACCCGCCCTTCATACATTTGAAGCTATGACAATGGCAAAAACCTACCTTAACCTTAAACCTAAAAAATCATAAAAAAACCTTAACAAAGCAGCTCCTAAAACCAAAACCAACTAGCTGCACAGAGCCCACCCCTAACCCCCCAACAACAGCCTACTCCTCCTCCTTCCCAAAGAGGAGTGGAAAGCCGTCGAAGTAGACGGTCATGTCGTTGTGGATCCAGGCGTGGAAGTCCCTCCCATCGTTGTAGATGAGATCATTCAGAATCCACTCATTGACAGACGCCCTGGGACCGTAGAAGGGTTCGAGTCGGGCAAGGTGGCGTGTCATCCACCACAGACGCCACTTACTGCAAACCTTCTTGACATTGTCCCGACTCTCCCAATCAAGCTTGGGGAAGACATGGAGGACGAGTAAGTCGGGGTTGCTGAAAATTGGGTGCGCATCGAAAAGGGCGTCCATACCTAAACAAATTAAGGGAGTTAGACACCGGCATTCTCAGGTTTACAACCTACTCTGTTTCACAAACACCAAAATCCTAACCATCGACAACAATTTCTACCCACAAAACCCCCAATTTTGATAATCAACCACAATCAACACCAAACACAAGCAAATACAAGACGATGACAACAAAAAAAACCAGAAAAAATCACAACAAAAAATTCACCCAAAAAAGGAAAAACCCAGAATATACTCTGTAAAACAAACCATTACAGACAAATTTAAGACGAAAAAGACAAAAACAAAGAATATACCTGCTGGTGATGCAAGCTGGTCCAATTTCGCTTTCTTGGCTGAAGATTCGCAAGCACACTCCCACATTAATGGCGTCGAGGAAGGGCGAATTTTTTTTTAGCTGAAAATGGAAATGATGATGACAGGGAATCTAGTGAGATGTGGAGTATATAAAAAGGCAGAAACCTTTAGATTTCTCGCGCCAATTGAGAGTAATGATGATTTACGTTTCCCAAAGTACAACTGCTTAATTTTTTAATTTTTTTTGTTCAATTGTAACTGATTTGCAAAACGCAGCGTTTCCCTTATATGCTCATCGATTGGGCCACGTGTCGTCAATCATCTCCTTAAAAAAATGAAGCTTGCAGAAGAAGATTCATGAAAAAAAAAATTACAAATTCTGACATCAAGTCCCTAAACTTTTTGGTGACTCAACATCCCTCAACTTTTTTGATGAGTCAAGGTCCCTCAACTTTTTCTTAGTCAGCAAGTCCCTCAACTTTTGGCTGAAAAACACTAAAGTGGGTGGTTGAGGGACTAAATTGGTGAAAAAAGTTAAAGAGGGACTAAAACGACTTTTATACGAAACTTCAGGGACTGTATTTATGCTTTACTCAAACAAAAGGTGTACTGTATTGTACATTTGTACATTTGTACCCAACACAACAAAATGGCCCTCGCATGAAATGCCCTTGGACGCCTGCATATACTCTCTCTCTCTTATTTTTATTTTTTTCCGAATAAAAGATTTACGACAAAATTAAGTCCGTCTTTTTTCAAAGCAACAATATACATAGTCGTTATACTCATACTACCTCCATCCCATAATACTTGACACAGTTGCCATTTTCATTCATCCCATAAAATTTGACACGACACTAAATATGAAATAGGAGCACTAATAATTTTTTTTTTTTTTGGTAAGAGATTTTATTACCAAAAGAAAAGAGGGGAAGCCCTCACCCAAACTACAACGACCAAACAGGCACACAAACCCACTACAAGACAAACAAAACACTAGCTCATCATCTCATGCACATTAAGATGATGAAGCCATTTACAATTGTTCCTATTCCAAAAACTATTAATAAACTTCCTAGCTCTATCAAGTACTTCTACTTGAATAGCTTTACAAATGAACCTCAGATGAATGCAACTTTCCTCCACAAAGCAAGATTCCTAGCTAGCCATATATGGAAAACAGTAGCAATCAAAGCAGCCAAAGCACAATTCCTCTTAACTTTGTCTGTCAGCACATCCTTCCAGTGAAGCCAGGTGTTATCGATGGAAAACAGAGACTCCTGGATGCCTAACCAACTGCTGACAGCATTAAGACAAGTCTTACTTTACCACAAACCCCAAAACCAATTAAATCCTACATTTTCTCTCCCCTCACTACCCCCCACCTCCCCCATTTTTGTTTTCTTATATATAAAAATACAAAAGAGACCCTTTATATAATAAATAAATGTTTTAAATGGACTCACTTGTAGTTTTCTTAAACTACTCTAACGTCACAAGTATTAGAGCAAGATTACCTTAAAATCTTAAGACTTAAAATGACATTAGTTTTTGATAGGTTCTATTAAAAATGATGTCATTTTATTAGGTAAGACTCTTTTAATACTCACTCGTATTTAGCACTTTAGCCCTAAACTCACTTAAGACTTCTCATATTATTATTATATTTTATTTATTTATATTTTTTACTCTTAGTAATATGAAAAGATGTAGTAGGGCCCACACTCAAGTCTTAAATTTTCAAGACTCAACTTGAGACTTAGCTAACATTTCTCAAGAAAAATGGGATCAAACAAAGAGTCTTGTCTTAAGACCCAAGATGATGATGCCATGTGGAGTCTTAAGATTCGGGGCTAATCTTAATCTCATGGGACGGAGGGAGTAAAAAAAAAAGCTTTGTTGTTAATGGAAGGGTTGATTTCCTGATAATTGTCCATGAGATGACCTCTTAAAAGGCTACATAATCCGTAGATTGGTCTAATATTATATTGAATGAAATTGCTAAATCAAATTCCTATTTTCACCTGTGAGCAAACATATCTTCCATTGACATTGAGCTAATTTCTAAATGCAACATAAAACCATTATGAATGGAAAATGAAAGCGGTTATGAATGGAAACATGGGAAGAATTTTGCAAATTAGACTGTTTACTTAGAACATTATGATTTTAGGTATCATGGGGTAAATGATAAGGTTGGAATTGGATTACAACTTGTGTCAAGTGTTTGTGCTTCCAAATAAACTAAGTGCAATTATTGGCATGACATAGATTTTCATGTCAAAAGATTTGGAAGTTGGCATAGCCACGTGACAATCCACACGTTAGATTGCAACGTGTCAATCTTCTGTCTTTCTATCTAGAGCAAAATTAACATTATTTGGTTAATCATTGTGCCCGATGTCTTGAAATGTTCAATGGGCCAAGTTTGGGTCAGGTTGTATTGGCTATGGTCAATGTATTTCTTACAGGGGCGGGTTGAGCTTGAGGGTCCTCTTACTTGACCCGACTTGTTTTTTTTTTTTTTTTAATTAAAAATAATTATTTAAGTTCATCAAAAGTTAATTGCAGTTCAATAAAAATAATTTCAACAAAAATAAAACGAAGTGAACGGGGCCTAAATAGTGATCAGTACATTTGATTAGGGTCATCACTTTACCAAATTACTGCTACAAAGAACAATTATTAACCCCATTTCAAGAATAAAGAATTACCCATTTTCAGCCTTCTTCCCCTGTCTCTCAGACCCTTTTCTGGGTGGTCAATTGTGTCTGAAGAAGAGAGAGAAAGAAGTGAATTTTACTGTAAAAATGGCGCAGCAAAATAGTGGAATACCCACGATTGAAATCTACTGGTCTTTGGTTGATAAAGCTGATAAGAAATTCGCTAAGATCAGGGACTTGCCCCTTTATGAACGTAATAGGTACATTTCTTCTTCCCTTCCCTTCCCTTCCATTTCTTTTTTCTTTTTCCCGATTGTTGAATTCTTGATTTTAGTTTCGTTTCTGAAATGGGTTTTGTTTTTGAATTGGGTTTTTCTTGTTATTTCATGTGTTATTCTCGGTGAATTTGATCATTT